CTCTGCATACCCCAAAGTCCCAACTCCCTACCTGTCACTCTTTCCCAGTGACATTCCATTGCTCGGAGTGGATCGCCTGAGCCGATCCTATCTTCTTGCCCTTCTCCCTCTTCTCCCAACCACTTGGCTGCTGCACCTGAGAATTTTCTGTTTACTTGTTTTCGTCGTTCTAATAGTTTCTTCCCGTCAAGCTCTCTTTTCAGTTCCGGACCACTTTTCTACCCTTTATCTGAACGAACATCTGACAGATCCGGATCACTTGGCGTACCGGACTGGATCGCCACCTTGACCTGTCATTCGGATTGGCCAACAAAGCGGACCCTTCGTGGCGGATCAGTTATTGATAATCAGAGTATTGACTCTGGCCGACATTTCTTTTTTGATCGCTCAACTTTTTGGGACACTTGCGCGCCTTTCCTGCAGTTGTCAAGGATCGACCAGTAGTCAAAGTCCCCTGCACCGTTCTGTTGGGTTTGGGTTGCACTAGCTGCAGCTCCTTTCCACTACGACGTTTATTTTTCTAGGGGCCATCCTTTGTACCTCTTCTCCTGTACTATTACTCTGACCGACGCTTGACTTCTGTGATACCATACATTACGCCGGTGGTGCGACGTACCATCCACGACACAGCTATCCGGTTTGCCTCGATTGCTACGGAGGCACCCCACCATATAGGCTGATTCTCGTCCAGAGACAGGAATATAGCCGGGTGAGGTTTAATGGTGGCGATGCTTGCTTCAGTTCCCCAGATGGACTCGGTACAATCGCTTCCTCGGAACCCTGATGTCGTTGCGCGGCACCCTTCAGCGGAGGACCTGGACGCCGCCCAACAGCTGATATCTTCGGCCCAAGCTGGCCGAGAACACACCGCGGATCGTCATCGGGATGAGAAGGGAACAGCGCCTGCTCGGTATCAAATGGAAACGACAATGAATGGGTCGGCACAACGTTGGTCTGAACCACAAAGAACCGCACCTCCAGCTGAGAAGTCCTCGACATCACCGAAGGCGCAGAAAGACACAGCGTTCTTGGGACATTCCTGCAGGTCCGTACATCTCTACATTCAGTCTCCGTTCGAGTTTGGTTGTGTTGACTTGTATTTCTAGCAACTGTGGGACGAAGAGCACTCCTCTATGGCGGCGATCACCGACGGGAGCGATGATTTGCAATGCATGCGGCCTGTACTTGAAAGCAAGGAACGTAGCTAGGCCGACCAAACGCAATCGCTTGGAACCAGGGTCCGAAGCGGGCGGGCAACAAATTGGTCATTTAAATACTCAGAGCGAATCGGCTTCACAGGGACTCTGTCAATCTAGCTCGGGAGGTGGTTCTTGTCCTGGTGGAGGGAATTGCAATGGGACTGGCGGAGCCGAGGGATGCGATGGTTGCCCTGCCTACAACAACCGAGTTTACAAGTCCGCTGCTCGAGGCACGGTTCCCGTCCATTCGTGGAGAGCTACCACTTCAGAGTCCGACCGACCTCTTCCAGGAGGCGAAAACGATGCGGGAAAGAATGGCGCACCAGTCGAGGGAGGAAACACGCTGGTCTCCTGTCAAAACTGCGGGACCACTGTGACCCCACTTTGGCGACGGGACGAAAATGGACATCCCATTTGCAATGCTTGTGGTGCGTTGAATTTCGGCCAATTTTGTGATAAAGCCAATATACTAACGTCCTTTTTTTCATTAGGGCTCTACTACAAATTGCATGGTTGCTACCGACCCACAACGATGAAGAAGTCCATCATCAAACGACGAAAACGTGTTGTGCCTGCCTTGAGAGACCAATCTCCTAGTGGAGCTACCTATTCGTCCAATGGTTCATCTGCGTCGCCAGAGGCATCTCCTGCGGTTTTGGCGCATGGCCATGATGACCACTACCGATACTTGAGTTCGGATCCAACATTGCAGGCTAACCATCAGCGACCTTTTGCCATTGCCCCGCCGCCCGTGGATTTCACTCACTTCAGTGCCGCCGGGAGTCTTTCCTTACCGCATCACCCTCCCCCTCCGAGACTCCTGGAGCCTGAACGGCTGAGCGCACCGAGTCATTCTCCCGTTTCACAGTTCGGCCGTCGTTCTATCTCCCCCGGTGCTTCCGGCAATGCCAAGAAGCGAACTCTTGCGGAGACCGCTTCATCTGCCGAGACTTCCTCCATCCCGACGACGTTGGAGTCGGGTTCCAATCAACTTCCTCCCATCATGTCAACTGCCAATCCCTCACCCCCCGGCCGTCTCAGCTCGATTTCCACTCTTCTTAACCACTCAGGCCCGCCCGACGAATCCCGCTTAGACCCGTCGCTCGCTGCTCTTAGCCGTCAGCAGCAACACCACAAAGCGGCACCCTTGGCACCTCACCCGCCGTCCCAGCCGTTGCCCGGCGTATCTGAACTTGAAAGCCTCAAAGAAGACCGCCGAGCAAAACTGCAGCGTGAGGCGGAGGAGATGCGTGAAATGCTCCGAGCTAAAGAGCGAGAGTTGGCGGAACTGGGCGTGTGATGAGCAGTCCCATTACTGTCCTCTCACATGACCTCCCCTTCTTTCCTTTCCTTTTTGTCTTTCTTTCACCTGGCGTAAAGATTTACCTTGTTGGCAAGATACCATTTCAGTATGTTTGAACAAGATACACAGGAGTTGTGCAATTCCGGAAAAGCCCATGGTTTTCTTTAACGTGACCTTTCTTTCCTGCGACCTGTCGGAGCAACCTCAGCGGAGGCGTTTTGTCGTTCCATTTGTTCACCCTTCCTCCACCTACCAATTTCATGATCTCAGCTACTCTGGCGTTGTACTACAGATGAGAGCTCACTGCTCATTGTCTTATTTAGATAGATCTCGGTAAATTCCTTAATTCTTATCACGACATCGGACTCTTTCTTGAGATCCCGATAACGGATTTGGCTATTTGATGATAAAACTTAACTTGAATTCAAGTATCCCACCCGTCTTTGGGCACGAGATCCTGCAAGATTCTGTCAATGATGAATGTGCATCTCGTATCAATCAATCCCTCAGGTCCACTACGATCTGATGCTCCCTCCCTAAATCCCCACGCACCTTGGTCCCCATGTCCTCGCTCAACCGGGTAATCTTCCTCTTCACCCAGCCATGATCATCATCATCCGGATCCAACAAAGTCACCTGAAAGCGATCGCAACGGGTCGGAAAGATCTCCAATCGATCCAGCACCAGCCTGCAACTCTCCGGGTCAGGACTCTCGTCGTCCTGCTCTTCCCTCACACAAACCCTCCACACAGCCCCAAGGTCATTCCGATAATCCTCGCTCAACGCATAATCATCCACAAAGTCTCCACACCCATAGATGATGAGTTTCCGCCGGTACTGCTCTACACCCTGCACATGGTGCGAGGAGTGGCCATGCACAATGTCCACGCCGCACTCGTCGATCAGAAAATGCGCTAGCGAGCGGATCTTCTCGGCGGGCTGCCACGTATAGTTTGGCCCCCAGTGGACGGAGAAGATCTTGAGCGCGGGTTTCTCCGGCGTGTCGGCGGATGTTGAAGTTGAAGGTGAAGTTAGCAGGGTGCGCAGGCGCTCTCTTGTTTGGGCCGAGTAGTCGATTAGGTGGAAGTTGGGCACGACGGCCCAGTCGCGCGGGTGGTCCGAGGCCGCGTAGACGTGCACGCTGTATGATTTGCCCGGTTGGCCGTGCTCTTCCTGGGCGTGTGCGTGTCCGTGATGGTGTTGCGTGTGCTCGTCGCAGCGCGGAAGACGCAGAACGGCCGGCCGCCGGCTCTCGTCTGTTGTCTCGCCTGCCCCTGCGAAGGCGATCTTGGACTCCTTCATCGTCCAGACCGTCTCGACTAGGCCGTCTGTGCCGAAGTCGAGCGTGTGGTTGTTTGCGAGGCCGGCATAGTCGATGCGGGCTTCGCGCAGGGCTGCGGCGTTGGCCGGGTGCATGCGGTAGTTGAATGCCTTGTTGGGCCAGGGATCGTTGGTGGTTGTTGCTGAGGTTTCGAGGTTGATGAGGTTGAGGTCGGCGTTGTGGAAGAGCGGGAGCGCGGAGCCCCAGGGGTCGCGGTGGGTGTAGTTGCTCAGGTAGGGATAGCGCTCGATAAAGTAAGAGACGATGCGGCGTTCGTGGGCGTTTTCGACGTGCTGAGGCCAGAGTTGGTCGACGAGGCGGCCGAGCATGACGTCGCCGACGAAGTTGAGCGTGAAGGTGCGGAGGGCACTTGGCATGTTGATGGACTCTTTGTGCTAGTACTGCTGTCGTGAGCGAAAATTGGATCCTGAGTACATGTTGAGGGTGCTGGTGTCTCTTGTGCTTGTAGATGGTGTTCGGGTCATCATGACATCGACATGGCGGGCCGGTCCGAAGCCACCCAGATCCGCAGGTTAAATTGTCGACATTTGAGGGAGTTCATGACATGAGGACAGTGACCCAGGGCTGCGTGGCTGCATTGTGCTCTGATATGTAGGCTCATCTAGTATAATGGGTGGTTGATTGGCTGAGCGCATGGATTGCGGTGTTGTCTCAAATTGACCGTTAGTTTCATGTTTGGTGAACGCACTGAATGGTATGTTGGCTATCAAAGTCAGTGATCGTGCCTGATAAAGTGCATCGTGGCTGGATTAAGCTGCAGCTAACTGGCCATGCTTTTACTGTAGTTTTAATTCATACAAGGATCATCCCTGCTCCTTCTATTCGTGCGTGAGCATTAGTTTAAGTAGCAGTCAAAGACGTACAGCTGATAGACATATCATGATCAGAGTCACATGTCAAACCCCAAAGTTAGCCACAAGCTCCACCGAATGCTAGTACTTAGTAAAGAGAAAAGCTAGAGTGGCTTACGTTGTAAACCTGGAAACGGGAGACTGTGGGCTCCACAATCTTCATTATTGTCGTCATTGTAGGGAAAGTCAACGTTTGGTACAGAAAGACGAGAAAAGAGAAGAGGGATATATGTACATCGAAGAAAATAGGTTGAGTACAACGAAGCAGATCGGTAAGCACCTGGAAGAAATAAAATCGAATAAATTTATGATTGTATCACCAGCCGCCGCTGACTCGTCGACTCATCGTGCTGCGATGACTCCTGTACCGTCATCTCTGTGGTGACCTCAATGCCTCCTGTAGATCCTCGTTTCATATCAGTCGCTTCGATATCGATTGTGTATAGGCCATAGTCCGGATCCTGCGAGTAGATTTGAGTCCTCCGTGACCGGTTTGCTGTCATCGTCGGTTGTCCCGTGTATTTGTTGTAGCTCTTTGTGGACAGTAGTCTGGGGAAGATACGGCTGATAAGGGGTCGAAGGAAGGGGAGACAAGCACATATGATGGCAACATTGCATTCAGCGGCGGTCCAGTAGGCGGCACCTACGTTGCTGTCTGTGGTACAGTTAGAGACAACTTTGAAATGAACACGACAAGCAGTCTTACATGACGTGTCTGGGCTTTGAGCAACTGTTCGTAGGCTCGATAAACGAAGGATACTGGTAATAACGACGCTGTCGAACGTTAGCAACTGGCACATCGCCTCCTTACAGGGTAAACTCACAGTAAACCAACGGCAAAGACAGCCATGAGAGCAACTTTCTGCATGCGGGGAAGTTGGAGATGAGAAATGAGTGGCATCGGCATGATAAGCAGCGTCAGATCAGTAGCGATGTTCATGGACGCGTTAAAGAACCAGACAGCTTCGAAGCTGAGACAGGACCCGGGAATATCGCGGTCCCAGAACCTCGCTACAGGAACGCAGTTCACGAATGCGCTGACAATAGCCCACGTCGAGTACAATGCGACGATACCCATCATGGCGTAGCAAGCAAGTCGAAACTGGCGGCTGGGAAAGATGCGCAGGTATTGAAACAGAATGGAGAATTTGCTAAAAGCCAGACTCGCATTGTAGAACGGAATCGCTATCCAGAGTCGCTGTATCAGATATTGTCAACTAACATATTGACGTACGTATCGGCCTGGCAGCACCCACCTTGAGCTGCTGCTTCAGTGTAGCAGCAGGAAGTTTATCCGAATGGATTCCAAGACCGAAATGAACCTCTGTGAGAGAAAGTTAGAACAGTCTGTTTTTCTTTCCGTGTAAGAGATACTGCAGGAATGTCTTACGGGCAGCGACCAATGCAAAGTAGATGATGGAAAAGACCTTTTAACAATTCCAGTCAGTGGTGAAATCTATACGGAAAGCCAGAGCGAGACACATATGCACTCACCAGGGCCACGACAATCGTGTAGTCTTCGCGGCCTCTCAGCTTCATCAAGCCGATCCGCGCGAACAGTCGCATCGCAACGATTAGAATTGCCAGTCCGGTCAATACGCCTGTGACCACCACTGCCTGTTGTCCCCGTGATGCTCCATCGTCCTCATCGCGAGATAGTATGATATGTCCTAACGGTCCGTGCATCTTGGAAGAGTGAGAGAGTGTGTCGTCAAATGAGCGTGTCGCTTGAATACTGCGAAAAAAGTGTGATGCGCGATTCGGAAAGTCGTTGATAATATCGGGCCTTCCGCAAGCCAGACAAGATCGAAAACAGACTCGTTGCATAAGTTATATAGGACTTTCACTTGGAAAATCCCGTCGGATGGTAAGGAACGGCCAGGTCAGTTAGACCCCAAATGAGAGGAAGTTGTCAATGCGTATAAGTTTGTTTGCGCTCATAAACGATGTCGAGAATATGGCATAGGCTATTATTTAATTTTGTTGTACGACCTCCTAAACACTGTTTTCCCCACCCACATGAACCAGAGGCACGGTAGATACGTCAATAGTGTTGTAAGATCACTTCCGAATCCCCACGCGCACGGGCCGGGAAATGCTTGCCATATGTTCGCATTGCCCTGGAAAGTTTTAGTGCTGCTGATCTTCGACCAGAGTTGCATGGTCTCCACGGAGTTCGCGGTATAGTAGAGCGTCTAGTAATGGAACTGCAGCAACATGTGTCATCATTGGTGCGTAGCTCAGGGCCTCTTATGGAATATGAAATAACTTCAATGAAGCATTTGTTGTCGACCACAGAAGCCGACAGCCGTCTTGTATAATTTCACTGAGGAGCATAGTGCCACAGGATGATGAATACCTCGATAGTAAACAGCTATGCTGTTACGGTGAAATATGGGCACTTGATAGTCTTCTGTCAAGCGTCATCCGTCACTCCGTGAGGAGAATTATGCGCATGTAGCACGACTGCATAGTCGCTCAAGGCCCTGTTCTGCCTCGGCGCTATCATGTTGTCTGGATGGACTCGTTGGTTTGCCGCCCTCCTTGGACATGAAGCGGGGATGATCCTCCAAGTGGAAAGAGAAACAGGCACATCGAAAGCTAAGCTAGGTACTAGTCAAATCCCGAACGCCACTGGTCGGATCATCGGATGGTTTACTAAGTAACTTAGTGCAGTGATTGATAAGGCAATGCAGGGTCTATAAGAACCACCAAATCAACACAAATACTCTGTGTATTAGGTATGCCAAAATTCAAATCATCGTCAGTGCTAGGACCTGTTTGGAGTAAGATATTTGCTGAGGTTTAGAGATGGCATTGCCACCTCATTATCCTCTTTAGGAAGGTCTCCTTGAAGCGAGCCCGTAAATCATCGCTAGACTGTGGATCTTCCTCCGCTTAGAACGTTTTGGCACATGTCCCTCCGAAGTGGACAGGAGAAATTTCTAGTGGGACTTCTACATGCGACATCAGCACGAGCGCAATCGTGGCCCATTAATAGGCAATCCCTGACTTGACCGAGATCAACAAGAACAAGCAGAGTATCAAACTTCGGCTCATTCATATCATAATAGACCTACAGGCGATTGTAGATGCATTCCGAACTAGAATCTGGCCGTGGGTCTTGCGCTAGTTAGGCAGAACTAGATCAACATGACCTGCAGTGATCCACAGCCAGACTGTTACGGCGCTTTTCGGTGTCTTGGCACATGGGGAGAAAAGAAAGTCATCATCCTCGAGCAATAATTCAGGGTTGTGGTCAGTGGAACTGCCGTTGCTTGATCGTGCTCCAGTGCGGATAGACCAGTCCCCAGATGTCTATATGGATCCCAGGCATGGCGAAGGGAAGTGTTTTGTTGTCTAGTCTACTTGGTACACCATGAGTCGATGACAGTCTGGCCTGAGACACGGTGTCATGATCAGAATCAGGTCTTCCAAGCACCACCTTGTAGGAAGGGGTAACATGGCTGTCCGTGCTGGCTACGATCAAAGAGCATTGAATAGTTTTATCTTTCGATGACGTCTCAATATGCACCTGCAAGTCGATCGATTACTGATATCTCGTGGAGCAATAATAGGGGCGTCGGCATCTCGAGACATTCAAATTCTTGGACTGAGGCCGTAAACCGAGGGATACGGGCGAAGTCAGATTGTATGTAGACAATTGACGGTGTACAATGACATCGTCTGAATCTGGCGACCTAGGATTAGGTTTCATAGTGACCTTGCTCATCAAAGCACCTATTTGAGCCTGCAAGCTCCTGAAACACAGGAACAGCGTTGAAGCCTATTGAACTCTATCGGGCATTCAGCAACAAATGGGGAAATCCATCGCTCGAAGATCGGTCACCCATGATAATGTAGAGTGCGATTATCATATGCCTAGTCTACTCCGTCCTTGATATGATACCTTGACCCCACAGGAGGGTGCGCGCGGCGGGTTGAGACAAGCTCTAGCGCTATGTACACTAGAATGCATGTCGCATCTACAAAAAGCAATGATGCAGATAATTTCGATGGTAAATCTACAAATGGCTTTGGCAATGCCGACTTTCTCACGGCGAAGTTGAAGCCTTGGGTACTTTTGAGCCTGCACAGTCCATAGTCACTTCATTCCTCATCGGCGAAGCGAGCTCAAAGGTAAGTGTTTACGTTCAGTGTGTTCTATGTCCGTAAGATCGCAAGGCTGACGAATACAGCAAGAACCGATGAGATGATTCCCTACACAGCTTGTTCATCTTCACGTCTTTTCCGAAGCATTGCTTCAGCGTGCTCATCGTCAACGGATTTCTGAGCTGAGAGGCAGCTCAGGATATGAAGGAGCCGTTGTCTGGAGCTCAGATACTCCGTTACGATGCAAAGCAAGATCAAGCTCATACACTCTCTTTCTGCGTCCTGGACATGTTTTGATCAAAGTCGGGGCAAATCCGATCGGCCAAACCTTCAGCCGACAGACAACCAGCGGAAAATCCGAGGCAGAAAACAGCCCCGCCAATCATTGAGTTTCCCCGCACATGATGTGATGCCGACTTTCGGCTTGTTATCTGGACGAAGAGTCATAATAACGGGCGTCAATTCTCTGTCCTTCTCTTATATTCCTACTCCTTCTTGATTTCTAGGCTTCTTACTGTAGGCTGAAATTTATTTATGAAGCACATCAGCAAATCAATAAGCTTTCTCCGATCATTTACTTATTTCTCCGCGTCCACCCCTTCGGCTAGAACCAGCATTTTCACCCCTGCATCTCAGACGACTCTTATAAAACGCACAATGGCAACGGCAATGGCAAAGCGCCTTGAAGGCAAGACAATCGTGATTACTGGTGCGTCATCCGGAATCGGTAGGAGCACCGCCAAGGAGTTTGCCCGGACGTCACCGAAGGCCCTGAAGCTTATTGTGACTGCACGACGACTCGACTCTCTGCAGCAGCTGGCCGAGGAGATTAAGGAGGAGGTCGGTGACGGTGTCAAGGTACTGCCGGTCAAGCTGGACGTCAGCAACCCAGAAGAGGTCAAAAACTTCGTCCCGTCCCTCCCGGCGGAGTTCCAAGACATTGATGTCCTGGTCAACAATGCGTAGGTCTTACATTGGCTCGCTCTTACACTACCTCAGGGGTGGGTTACTAAAAAGGAAACAGTGGTCTCGTCAAGGGTGTAGCCAGGGCCCCCGAAATCGACCCTGAGGATATCAACATCATGTTTTCCACCAACGTCACTGGGCTGATCAACATGACCCAAGCCATTCTTCCCATCTTCAAGAAGCGCTCAGATGGTGGCCGTGGAGACATTATCAACATTGGCAGTATCGCCGGCCGCGAAGCCTACCCTGGTGGTAGTATCTACTGTTCTACAAAGGCTGCGGTCAAGTCGTTCACCGATGCCTTGAGAAAGGAGCTTATTGATACGAGAATCCGCATCATCGAGATTGAGCCTGGTCAAGTCGAGACTGTAAGCTGTCTTTATCTAGAAGATAAGCACCAAGCTAACACCAAGCCTACTGTAGGAATTCTCAGTTGTGCGGTTCTACGGTGACAAGGCCAAGGCTGATGCGGTCTATGCGTACGATTATCCGCCGCATAAATGAGAGCTCTGAGCTAACATGTATTAGTGGATGCGAACCCCTTACACCAGATGACATTGCTGAAGTCATCGTCTTTGCTGCGGGTCGGCGAGAAAATGTCGTAATCGCCGACACACTGATTTTCCCAAGTCACCAGGTGAGTTTCCTCCTTTTTTCGCTCAAGAATTCCTCGCTGCTATAAGACACAACTGACATGTCCAATATAGGCGTCCCCTGGCCATATGTACCGCAAGAACTAGAGCAAAGGAGGGTTAGACAGACATTTAGAGGGAGATACCTACCAGCTTGATTGGCCATCAATCCAACAAAGACAGATAGATAGCACATTATATACAACCATGTACATCACAGGTTCAGTTGCATAACGTCAGGAAAAGTTAACCCGGCGGCGTAGCACCAACCGCGAGTATGACTTGTTCAGCTTAGAGGTACTCTTTATTCATCCTTGCCTCATGACGAGCGTTCTTGCAATTGGCCCCTAAACAGGAAGACGGTCCAAGACTCGGTCCCATGGGCACAAGACAGCTCTCTACCATGGTACATCCACATCCCAGAAGCCCATAGAACAGACCCACATGTCTGGGAAAATTACTGAGCTATCATCTGGCGGCTCCTGGCGTCTGTCCCCAATCTTTAGATGTCACAATTCACGGACCAATAGCTATTATGGTATTAAGCTCTGCCGACAACCACGGATACCCTCAACCCTGCAGCGATTGTCCATTTACCTTTTTTGGGACATGCGGATGTGTTTATCGGCGCGCTTCGTTGGGCATGATAATAACCCTTTTACTCTTGTCGACAGACTACTACAACAAAGGTGGTGGTGCTGCCGTTCGCGGATTTTAGGTATATCGGGCCGAGTTATATGCCAGTTTCCCCAGGCTACCCTGGTCCATAGGGTGAGAATTACCAGTCAATGAGAACTGGAGGGTTAATTGCTAGATTTTGCTGCTCCATGATATCATGTTATTTCCTTGTAAGTTCTGAAGGCAATCGTCTTGAGTGCTGTATAGATGGCGCTTATTGCTTTGCTGCTTGCTTATAAGTCTTTGAGTGCGTGTTAAATAACGTTAGTAAAGTACAACAAGTATCTCCGTGATTTC